TTTTTGGAGAAGGTAATGTGCAGCATGAAACAATCTGGTTCCCCATTTGATACTGTTCCCCCTTGACTTCTAAAGGAGGTCTGTCCTATTTTGGGTCCCTCTATTCTCTCTCTTGTGAATAAAAGTCTTTCCTCAGGTGTGGTGCCAAAATCTTTCAAACATGCTGTTGTTCAATCTCTGCTGAAAAAACCTAACCTTGACCCCTCAGTCATGTCCAACTTCAGGCCTGTCTCTAGACTCCCATTTGTCTCAAAACTACTGGAAAAAATAGTTGAGTCCCAGTTGAAATGTTTTTTGGAGGATCACGCTATTTTAGAGGTGTTTTAATCTGACTTTAAATCTCCCCACAGCACTGAGACTGCTCTTCTGAAGGTTTTTAATTACATTTTCATAGCCACAGATGCAGGTGATTCTGTGCTGCTTGTCCTATTGGACCTTACATCTGTTTTTGACACCATCAACCATGAGATCCTCATTTCTAGGCTGGAGCAGTGGGTGGGCATCACATGGTCAACCCTCAAATGGTTAAGATCCTATCCCTCTGACAGAACCTTGTGTGTCAACATTAAGGATTTTAATTCATCATCTGCAACTCTTCTGTGAGGGGTACCACAGAGGTCCTTCCTCTGTCCTCTTCTTTTCTTTCTACCGGCTGCCACTAGGTGCTATTTTCCATAAACATAACATACCCTTTCATTTCTACGCCGATGACTGTCAAATTTACTTCCTTCTGAAGCACAGTGGTGCACGTTCTATTCAACCTCTTCTTGACTGTCTGGCCGACATCAGGGACTAGTTGTCTTTAAATTTCTTAAGCTTTAATGAGAAGAAGACTGAAGTCATGTTGTTTCCTCCTAATGGAACAATCAAGAACCACGGTATTGACCTCTCCTCTCTAGCACCGGTAGAGAAACAAAAAGTCACTAATCTGGGAGTGATAATGGACCCTTCCATGAAACTTAACAGTCATTTAAACATGATTCTTAAATCTTGTTTTTTTGTGTGTGTGTTTGTTTATTTGTTTTTTTTATCAGCTGAGGTGACCGTCTAAATAGAAGCCCATACTGTCCAAAAATAACCTTGAGACAGTAATGTATGCGTTCATAACATCCAAGCTCGATTACTGCAATGCGCTTCTGTTTGGAATCAGTCAGACCTCCATTGCACGACTACAACTGGTCCAAAATGCTGCTGCCCCATTTTTAACCGATACAGGCAAAAGAGAGCACGTTACACCAGTTTTGGCCTCCCTGCACTGGCTCCCGGTTCACTTTCGAATTCAGTTCAAAATCCTTTTGTTTGTTTTTAAATCATTGAACAGTTCTGCCCCTTCTTATCTTGCTGATGTGCTGCAGCTATTATGTCCCACAGCGCTCTCTGAGGTCAGTGAATCAGATGCTTCTTTTGGTTCCTGGAACCTGTCGTAAGCTCAGAGTTGTGTTTCGTTGCTTGGAACAGAAACAGTTATTTACTGACAGTCCTCCTAAACAGAATATTTTTGACACTAAAATAATGTTACTGCCATCTTTAAAACCTTTTCTAAATGTTTAGCATACAATGACTGAACACACAGAAATGTATGTTATCTTTTGTTGAAATGTTTATTGTGATTTTTACCAAAACTACATAAAAGGAAGATGTCTCTGAAAGCTCTGACCCTCATGTGTTACCCAGGAAGAAGTTCAGCTCTTTGTTTTGTAAAATAAAAGTGGTTTTATATGAAAGTTTGCTGAAGCTGTACTAGTGCCCTTGTCAGAGTCAGAGTTTCTTTATTGTCATTCGCACCTCATGTGGTACATGTGGTGGAGCGAAATTATGTACACAAGGTCCCAGTTACATCCAACAATAAAATGTCTAAGAAAAACAGTAATAACATCTAAGATATGAACTAAGAAAAACATCAACTAAATATACACTAAGCACTCATAACATAAAAACATTGAACATCAGCACAAACATGAACATGAGTCTGTGAGCAGATGTGCACGCATGAACACATCAACATTGAAACAGATCAGCAGCAACATGAAACAGATCAGCAGCAACATGATATGGTTTTTCACAGTGATTATTCTG